CCCAGAATTCCCAGAATTCCCAGAATTCTCATAATCCCCTCATTGGTTCCCAGGTGGAGAAGCTGGCCCAGACGCTTTGCCCCCAGAATTCCCAGAATTCCCGTTACCTCATTCCCAGGTGGAGAAGCTGGCCTGGACCCTTTTCCCACATTCCCAAACCTCTTCCCCACATTCCCAGAGTTCCCAGAATTCCCGTTCATTCCCAGAATTCCCCTGTTCATTCCCAGGTGGAGAAGCTGGCTCAGACCCTTTCCCCCATCCCCAGAATTCCCAGAATTCCATTTCATTCCCAGAATTCCCCCATTCCCATGTGGAGAAGATGGCCTGGACCCTTTTCCCACATTCCCAAACCTCTTTCCCACATTCCCAGAGTTCCCAGAATTCCCGTTACCTCATTCCCAAGTGGAGAAGCTGGCCCAGACCCTGTTCCCCCATCCCCAGAATTCCCAGAATTCCCTTTCATTCCCAGAATTCCCTGTGCATTCCCAGGTGGAGAAGCTGGCCCAGACCTTTTTCCCCATCCCCAGAATTCCCAGAATTCCCAGAATTCCCGTTCATTCCCAGGTGGAGAAGCTGGCCCAGACCCTTTCCCCCATCCCCAGAATTCCCAGAATTCCCGTTCATCCCCAGAATTCCCATTCATTCCCAGAATTCCCATGCATTCCCAGATGGAGAAGCTGCCTCAGACCCTGTTCCCCCATTCCCGGAATTCCCATTCATTCCCGGAATTCCCGTGCACTCCCAGGTGGAGAAGCTGGTGCGGACCCTTTCCCCCATTCCCAGAATTCCCAGAATTCCCATTCATTCCCAGAATACCCCAGTGCATTCCCAGGTGGAGAAGCTGCCTCAGACCCTGTTCCCCCATCCCCAGAATTCCCAGAATTCCTGTTACCTCATTCCCAGGTGGAGAAGCTGGCCCGGACCCTTTCCCCCATCCTCAGAATTCCCAGAATTCCCAGAATTCCCGTTCATTCCCGGAATTCCCGTTCATTCCCAGGTGGAGAAGCTGGCTCAGACCCTGTTCCCCCATCCCCAGAATTCCCAGAATTCCCGTTCATTCCTGGAATTCCCGTTACCTCATTCCCAGGTGGAGAAGCTGGCCCAGACC